ATATATATATATATATATATATATATATATATATATATATATATATATATATATATATATATATATATATATATATATATATATTATATAAGGTATATGTATATGTATACATGTATATGTATATGTATATATATATATATATATATATTATATATATATTATATATATATTATATATATGTATACCTATATGTATATGTATATATATATATATATATATATATATATATATATATATATACATATATATATACATATATATATTATTACATATACATATATATGTATATATGCATTTATATATATGCATATACATATATATGCATTTACATGTATATGCATATACATACATATGCATACACATACATGCATTTACATATAAATGTATATACAGTCATATACATACATATATATACATTTACATATACATGCATATACTTACATATATATATTTACATATAATAACTATGATATACTTACATATATACATTTACATATACATGCATATACATACATATGCATATACGTACATATATATACATTTACATACATGCATATACATTATACATACATATATATACATTTACATTACATGCATATACATACTGTTACAATTATCTTGCTCAGCTAAATCAGAACTTTAATTTTATGTTTATCTTTCTCTTGATGTGGTAATTATTATTAAGTTGTCTAGGGTATTAGTTTAAAACTGTACGAGCAAAATTAATTGTAATTTCAAATCTTAAAACTGTGCTTTAAAATCTATCTTCAGTTATTATATTCTCTTCGTGTTTCAACAGCTTACCAAAGTAACTTTCTTAATTCTCTGAATGTCAAAGGATTTGCAACTGTTTATCATTCTTCATTTACTTTTCATTAACACAAAAGATTTCTTTAAGTTTCTATTAGAGCACACATATTTCAACTTATTTATTCAACAAAATATTAATCAAATAATTCATGCAGGATGCAGTGATATTGTATCATTCTCCAAAGTCATTCATCATTAAATATTTCATTCAATTTGCAATATTGTATCATTCACAAAAGTCATTAATCCTTAAATATTTCAATTTCATTTGTAATAATGTTGTGGAAGATGTAAAACTAAATCATTATTAAGATATATTATGAAAAAATACACTGGCAAAGGCCAACAAAAAATGTAAATTTGTTAACTTCCAAATTGTTAGCTTATTTACTCTGAGCTAAAACATACTTTGCCATTAAGCAGATGCCTTATATGTAAGCGAAACAAGGGACCTATCACTGGAGTAAAAACAAAAGCTTCAACTTCAGACAAGAAAACAGAAAAACAGTACTCTGGACATCACACCAACCCGACCACATTAGACGCTCATAAAATTCATAATCTGATTATAATTCACATATATCTTCAATTGTACATACTCTCAAATAATCATATTGGAACTTACTAACTTCAAACATTAAACTTAAAGAGTAAATCATAAAGAAAACAAATACCACAAGACCGTGTATCTCACCTTCACCAATATCCCTGTTCGAGTCCGCTAGGTCAACACTATTTACATCTGACGTCTCTTATCTCATTATCAAAAATATAGTTTTAAACTCATCCAAGATCGTCAGATTTATCAATAATTATTTATTCACATTATAAAAAAAAAATAAGCACATTTATTACATTCTCAAAAAAAAAAAAAAAAAAAAAAAAAAAAAAAAAAAACTACACTGCAAGTTCCATTAATTAAGATAAAAAAAAAAAAAAAAAAATGTTTCCTTTAATATGAACTTCTTATAAGCTACTTCACTTAACAATTTATATGCATATACATACATATACATACATTTATACATGCATATACATACATATAGATACATTACAATATATAGCATATACATACATTTATACATGCATATACATACATATAGATACATTTACATATACATGCATACACATACATATATATACATTTACATATACATGCATATACATACATATGCATATATATGCATATACATACATATGCATATAATACATATCATACATAATACATACATACATATATATATATAATATATATATTATATATATATTATTATATATATATTAAAATTTAAATATACATGCATATACATACATATATATACATTTACATATACATGCATATACATACATATGCATATACATACATATATATTTACATATACATGTATAGATATATATGCATATACATACATATATATATACATTTACAAATACATACATATACATACATATGCATATACATAAATATATATATATTACATATACATGCATATACATACATATATATATTTACTATGCATACATATGTATATACATATGTACATTTACATATACATGCATATACATACATATATATACATTTACATATGCATACATATGGATATACTATATATATATATTTACATACACATGCATATACATATATACATATATGTATACATATTTATATACATATATGTAATATTTTTATATATATACATATATATCACATATATATTTATGTATATAATAAATATATATGAATATAGACATATAATATACATATATCTGTATATATTGTAAATATACATATATGTGTTATAGATACAAGTATATATATATACATTATGTATACAGGCACAATATGTATATATAACATGTATACTTTATGTATACATATATATATATATATTATATATATATATATATATACATATGTATATCTAAACATATACATAAATGTATGTTTCTATTAGTTGTCTATACACACAAATTGTCTATACACACAGATTGCTCACAAGTCACCAATGAGCCAATTATGAGTACTACCTATCTCACCTGTTTAACCTTTTCCTTGATTTTCAGAAATGCATTCTGGTATCTTATATTGCTGTACCTTATGTATGTCAAAACACTGTAAAAATCAAATGTCTACAATATGCTATAGCATCAATATTGATAGGATTAGGTAAAGCAACTCATGGAAATTGTCTTCCTGTTGGCCAGACTGAAAAGAATTAAGCAAAGACAGGTAAAAGTGAATTACAGAAGTCCTACTGGAACTATTGTGCAATTGCAAGGCTATGACAGACATAAACACCAAATTAGCATTTATAAAAAATTAAGGTAAAGAAGCCAGATACACAGAGTATTCCACATGCATGTAGCTAGCTACATCATTCAGGCTCTTTGAATCAAAAGGTTCATTAATTCATGGCTTATAATAACTTTCCCAATGTTTTTTCCTCTCAGAAATTTGTTTTGACGCCTCTACAATTTCTTCAAATTTCCAGACTGAATCAATTCTAGGACGTAATACCCCATCAGCTATCATGTCTCTGACCTCCATCCATCCTTTTCGAAAGCTTTTGGGTCTTTTTCTGAGTCAGTTAAATGGAAACCTGGAGAGAGAAAGCAAACACATTAAGAGAAATAAATCTTAATTATATGTGCGCTCATGCATTGGATTTTGCCTGGTGGTACCATAGTGTAGCATGCACTTTAGTTTTTAAGTAAGTACCTGCTAGCATGGTTCTTCATGATGAGAGACTGAGGAGAGACATTTTTTGTGTTCCACCAGGTTTCAGAATACAAGCAGACTGGATGCTCCCCCTCATCATTCCTTTGGCTCCTATTAGCACCACCTGTAATAATTTTGTCAGTAATAATAATTACATCAATATTAATAACAATGGAAAAAATAACATTCTTCAAAAACTTAAGGTGGGGAAATCAAGTGGGGTCATATAAACTACAGATTGACTCTTTGGTGGTGAATAATTGTAGAGCCATCTGAGCATAGATACTTTTCACAAAATATTACAGTGAACATCACATTTTCCTGGCAGTATTTGGTCAAAAACAAATGTACACTAAGTCCTTCAGATCCCTCACATAATAAAAACTAATCTAAGGCAATCTTTCAGTGGGTCTAGTGTGAGAAGGTGCATTGTTACATACACCTGATTAGCCACAAGGGTCTCTCTAGTGAGCTACAGGCAGGCGGCATGGCCCAGTTATACCTCATCAAAAGATTCAGTAAATTGCCCATGTTACGACTTCTAGGTTGTCCATGGGCTTCCTCCACAAGGGTTGTCTCTTTACAAGACAACATGAACTCCATACTTCAGGATAAGGTTCAAGTTTTGCTTCAATACAACAAAACTAGCAGGATCAAGGTGTGTATGTAGCTCGGTCCTCCTGCACCTTCATATAATCTTTACAAGCAATTTATGGCTCTTGCTGCCAGACGATCCCATTTGTTGACTTCTTGATCTGACAGCTGAAAATCATGCATTTTACTATCAAAACATGTGAAGCTCTGTAATTGAGAGAGCATTAAGAGATCCTGCCAGTCTCCGAAGATTCAGATGAGATGGCAACATTGTTAGCAAGGTAGAGGTTGTGACATTGTTATCCAGTGTTGCTCACACTGACTTTGGATGATAGCTCCATCCATCATTTAGTCAATGCAGTTGTTGAAAAGCATCAGCACATGACCATAACCTAGTTCACTTCTGGAATCACAAGAAAGGCTTTCTATATTCATAATACATTGATTTAAATGCCTTATTGAAGTCAAACTACATTCATGACAGCCCTTTACAGTAACATAGCAAGGTTAGTCTATTGTGGCTTTGCCAGAAATAAATCCAGATTGCTCAGGCCTGGAATGCTGAGCAGTGTAGTGATTGTTGCAATTCCAGTGATCCCCATTTCCCTTCCAGAGGGATGACTATGACCAGGAAGTATGCAATCCAAGAGCCATGGGTTCCCTGGCAGACTTCAACAGTCTAGCAGGGTTGTTGCAAATGCCAGCTGCTTTGCAACACCACAGCTTGGAGAAAGCATCCCTAACTTCTGTCAGGGTAGGAGGTTCCTCACTGATAGGTGGATTTGGCACTGGGATCATGACACTGTCAGCATCCATGATCACGGGCAGTGGCTCAACCTGATCTACTGCACATAATACTCAACTCAACTTTTCACACCCCAATCTAATGTGAGACAACCCAACCATCTACAGAGCAAACTGCATTCTGTGCTCAGGGCTTTACTTCCTGATTGCTGCTCCTTGTCCCTCCTCAGTAGTGTTCTATGCCCCAGGGATTATACAAGTACTGATCACCAGTCAGTCAAGCTAAGAGGTATCTGTGGCCTATATATTTATATATTGTCACATGGATCTGTTACTAGGCCTACCTGACCTCACTACTTACAAATTTCCTTGAATTTTTTACAAGGAAAAAAAAAATCTATTTATTATATGTTCTCTGAAGTTAGGTATCAATTGATTTCTTGGTAACTGAACACTTTTCATGAGCCGTCTATGAATAAAACAAAACTACAGTGGACAGTATACACACTCTTGACATCAACAAGTTAAGAAATTATGAAATACTTTGAAGGATTACCTTGCCCAGAGGTTCCAAAAGGTTCTGACTTCTGGTAAATTCGGCCCCTGCCAAGCTGTCCAAGACAATGCTGACACCTTGAGGTCGGACCTTTAAGATTTCTCTTTCATAATCCTGAAAAAAAGTTTGGGCTTTATCTTTTTGTTTTTTTTTGTCTGAGTGACTGTGTGTGAGAGTGCGTAACTGTGAGTGAGCTTGTGGGAGTGGGAGTGAGTGATTGAATTAGCAGGCTTGTGAGTGAGTGGGTGAGTGAGTGAGTGAGTGAGGGGTGGTGGGTGGGTGGGTGGGTGGGTGGGTGGGTGAGTGAGTGAGTGAGTGAGTGAGTGATGAGTGAGTGAGTGAGTGAGTGAGTGAGTGGGTGAGTGAGTGGGTGAATGCATGGGTGAGTGAGTGGGTGAGTGAGTGAGTGGGTGGGTGAGTGAGTGAGTGAGTGAGTGAGTGAGTGAGTGAGTGAGTGAGTGAGTGAGTGAGTGGGTGAGTGAGTGAGTGAGTGAGTGAGTGAGTGAGTGAGTGGGTGAGTGAGTGAGTGAGTGAGTGAGTGGTGAGTGAGTGAGTGAGTGAGTGAGTGAGTGAGTGAGTGAGTGAGTGGGTGAGTGAGTGAGTGAGTGGGTGAGTGAGTGAGTGAGTGAGTGAGTGAGTGAGTGAGTGAGTGAGTGAGTGAGTGAGTGAGTGAGTGAGTGAGTGAGTGAGTGAGTGAGTGAGTGAGTGAGTGGGTGAGTGAGTGAGTGAGTGAGTGAGTGGGTGAGTGAGTGAGTGAGTGAGTGAGTGAGTGGTGAGTGAGTGAGTGTGAGTGAGTGAGTGGGTGGGTGGGTGGTGGGTGGGTGGGTGGATGGGTGAGTGAGTGAGTGAGTGAGTGAGTGAGTGAGTGAGTGAGTGAGTGAGTGAGTGAGTGAGTGAGTGAGTGAGTGAGTGAATGAATGAATGAATGAATGAATGAATGAATGAATGAATGAATGAATGAGTAAGTGAGTGAGCGAGTAAGTGACTGGGTGACTAACTGAGTGATAGTTCTTGTGAGAGTGAGTGAGTGAGTGTATGAAAATATAACCTGGTGCCCCCAGCCAGTACCCCTACTACTTTTCACCACTGAAATTGTCAATATCTATATCACAGCCAATTAACCACATAATGCCGGGGATGGCATGCATGTACCTGCCACATCCATTGTGTGTGTTGAATTTAGTAATTGTTTTTACAATAGATGGCTCCGCAAGTACTAAGTCACCAATGACCCAATTATGTGAACTACCTGTGTTACCTGTTTACACTTTTCCTTGATTTTTGATAATATTTTCTAATATTTAATACTGCTGTTAGTACTGTCAATAATAATATAGTAATTATAATGTTTATAATAAATATAACAGTGTCAATATTGATCGCATTAGTAAAAAAAAAAATTTTCCTGCTTTTTCAAGCAAAAGTGAGGTCACACAACCTACTAATTGACTCCTTTGTGGACAAGCATTGGCAGAGCCATCTATGTGCAGAAACATTTAACCAAGTATTGTCAAAGGTAATGCACCATTTTCCCATTGGCACTGGGGTAATATAATACTGCATTTTTGTATGATTTTAACATAAAATTAAGGGCCCCTTTAGAGGTCACAAGCCCTTCTGGTGCCCACAAGAACCATGCACAGACGTATATGTTTAAGTGTTATCCATAAATGATGCAAACCAGATCTCGCTGTATAGTCATATTTCACATGATCATAAAATATTCAGTATTCACTCATAATGAATTTGAGATATGATACAGCCGTCATCAGATTGAGATTTTTGCCCTTTAAAAAATGATAAAAATATTCAATAGTGGTGTTTCCCTATAGAAGCTAAAAAACATATCACCTTTTATCTCTACAACAGAATTTTACAGCTAAAATAAATATAAAAGATTATTCACATCAGGCATTTTTATATAATACATAAGCATTAATGATTATTAACAAATATTAAGTATTCTTTTAGTATCAAAAAAACATTTCCAGATTTTCAAATGAAACAAATATCAGTTCTCTTCCATCAAATATCAACAAACATGAAACTTCTGTTATCCTGCAACCAGAAACATTCCTATCACTTTCCTTCTTTCAATAGCATCAATTATTGACCCCTAAATGTTACTGAAAACATTCAGTTACTAGAAGCTTACCTGACCATGGTGGATGGCATAGTCTACTCCATTCTCTTGCATAGCCTCATGTTTTGACTGAGGCTGTTCCAAGACCGTAACATTTGGTATGGTTTTGGCAAGCTGTGTTGCTGCCCATCCAACACCCCCTGTTAATGTGGAAGATGCTATTATTATGAACAACAGCCATGTTCTACTATTGTGGTAACGTAAATATAATCACTTTCCACACTGCATTGATAAATCAATAAAAAATATAGTATCTCCAAAAAACTTCTTTAATGTATAGTGTTTTCTGTTTGTTTCTTTGTTCGTTTTCATCTAATCGCAGTCAGTCAGAGTAACAGTATAATACTGGGGTCAGCTGCCCATGATAACCATTTCTGTTACACCTTCCCTTTGATGAATTATATCATCTGTGAACCATTTGTAGCTTATAGATAACAAGTATAGAAATATAAGACATGCATATATAAATATTCTTTAACTATCATACGTTTGACAAGATGGAAGTAAATTGCTCATTAACTATTGTCACCAGGTACATGAACTGTCCACTGTAGTTTTGTTTCGTGAAATGTGTCTACACACAGATGGTTCTACATGTGCCCAGCTGACGAGGAGTCAATTATTTGTCCATACATGACCTCACCTAATTTCCCAATTCCTTGAATATTCTAAAAAAAAAGTTTCTATCTAATGCTATTAATACCACCATGTTGTTATGTTAATCATGGTAATGGTAATATTAAAATACTAATCGCAATACAAATGGTAAAGAATCTTTCTAAAAATTAAGGGAAAGATAAATCATGTGATAGGAAGGACTAGTAATTAACTCCTTGCTGACTAGTATTTTGTGGAGCCATCTATGTGTAAACACAAAAGATAAATAAAAAACAGAGTAAAAAACAAATCTTAAGAAACTTTTTGTTTGGAATATTTTATGCACTGACATATCACATATCGTTGTGCATCCCCCTTTAAAAAAGTGATGAGGTGCAATCAAAATACAGATAATGTAAAAATAAATCAATACAAAGTAAATCTATAAAAACCTTTGCCCACAAAAAATGTGTAAAACCCACACATCTGAATTCTCACACTACATCCACTACACTACAAGAATCTTGAGAGGCTCTGAAAAGGCAAGGGGCACTCATTAAAGATTTCCCGACCCACTTCTGCTAATTCTAGGAGGCTGAAATTTCACATATATATATATATATAGATATACTGTAGCAGCCACAACCCACAACCTGCAACTCGGCATAACTGCAAGGTTGGATTCAACCAGGTCCACACCACAGCCTTGTCCATGTCCACTCACCACCAGGCAATTCTCAGGACTCATTGCCAAGGCCCGACTGGCTTACATGACATTTTACAGCTCTCTCACTGGACTGAAAGCTCCCCTTGTTCCTGAGTATTTAAGCTCCAAAATCCAGACTGAGATCAGCACCATCTCAAGATCATCCAACAGCACCACAGTTAAGCAGCAGCCACGAGGAACCTCTCCAGTTCCCCCGTAGAACACTTTGTCTCCAACAAGCCATACCTGTGGGAACTCACACCTACACAAACATTCTCCAGAGATAAGACACCAGTCATGTGGTAGATACACAACACAAATACTACAACACATCTCTTGTAGGTCATGCACTGATTTCCAGTCCTTAATTCATAATATATTTTTCTGTTACAGCAGTGAAGGTGCAGTAAAGTATGAAAATGGAACAAGTGGATTATCAAGCATCACAGGTTTTTATACTTGAATGGCTGCAACACCATAAGAGACCTTCAGTGAAATGAAAGCATCATATGGGAAGGATGCCATCATATGGCATTGTTAAACATCGGCATTCCCAGCTCAGGTGTGGTCAAAGATCAACCCCAGTCTGCCATTGATGAGGACGCCGAGGGGAGTGCATAGCCGTATTCACCCTTTGCTTCCACCTTCTAGGATCCCTCATGGCAAGCTACCAGGCAGGGACTCGGCCCATCTCAAGCTCCTAACGACAGGTTTGATCGATCTGCCCAAGCCACGACTTCCTAGGTCTTCCCACAGGCATACAGCCTGAGTTGGCGATCTCGGATTGTGTAGGTAACAGGTCCTGTGCCAGTCTCACGGTGCAACCATTGGTTGGACACGTGGTCCCACCAACTGTACCCCATGATCCGGCACAAGGACTAATTGCAAAAGGCATCAAGACATAACTCCAAGCACAAGATAATGTCCAGGTTTCACTACCGTATAGCAAAACTGGCATTATCAGGGCCCTGAAGACACGTAGCTTGGTTCTTCTGCACAGGTTACTAGCATCTCCAAATACTCTTGTCGAGAGAGTTCATGACCCCTGCTGCCAGGCCAATCCATCCGCTGACTTCCTGGTCTGACAGCCCAGAGTTATGAGCTACACTACCAAGGTATGTAAAACTCTCTGTGACTTCAATGTCCTCGCTACAAGCACGTACTTACTGAACAGGTTCTCCTAACAATTCCCTAAAGTCCTGGATCTTGGTCTTGGTCCAGGAGACCTCTAAACCCAAGGGCTTCGCTTCATTACTAAATGCATCAAGAGCCACCACTAGGGTTTCCAAAGACTCAGATAGAGTAGCAACATCATCGGCAAAGTAAAGGTCTGTAACTTTAATATAGCCCAGTATTGCTTCACAATGACATTGAACAGTAGCTCTGCCCAGTATCCAGTCCATGCAAGTATTGAAGTGTTGGTGCAAAAACACAGCCTTGCCTCACTCCTGAACTAACAGGAAAGAAGCTCGACAGGCCCCCATCACACTTTACAGCACTTTCAGTACCAGTATACAGACTTGCAATTAGTTTAATAATCCTTGTTGGAATTCCTCTCAGTCTCAGGATCTCCCAGTGATTCCTGATGCACCACATCGAACGCCTTCTCGAGGTCGAGGTAGGCTGCAAGCAGCCCAAACACGAACTCACGACGGCGCTGTACAATGACTCAAAACGCAAGTATACGTTCTATTATGGACTTATCAGGAGTGAATCCAGATTGCTCTGGCCTCTGATATGTCTCAGAAGGATGTGGGCAAGAACCTTGCCTGGTATACTGAGCAGTGTGATGCCTCAGTGATTGTTGCAGTCCCAATGCTCCCCCTTCCCCTTCTAGAGAGGGATGACCACACCCCTCAACAGGTCAGGGGGAATGGTACCGGACCACCAGATGGCAACCAGGACAGCATGCAACCTACGCGCCATAGGTTCACCACCAGCCTTTAACAGTTCTGCTGGGATGCCGCAAATACCCGCTGCTTTGTCACTCTTCAGCTTGGAGATCGTCCCCCTAATTTCAGTTAGGGAGGGTGGATCCTCACTGATGGGTAGGTCCGGCAACAGAATCATGGCACTACCCACATGTTGGTGGATCAACCTGGTACAACTGCTGAAAATACTCAGCCAACACTCCCGCCCTGCAACAGGATGTGAGATGATCTGGCCACTTACTAAGCAAACCACTGTCACCTGTGAAGAGGGCTTGGAGTTCAGCTTTCTCAGGGCTTGGTATGCAGGACGAAGGTCATTTACTAAGATATGGCTTTCGACCTCTTCTGCAAGACTCCTAATAAACAGTTCCTTGTCCCTTCTTAACAGAGACCGAGTTCTACGCACCTGAGAATGGTGCAAATCCCAATCCCCTGACAATTGAGCCGAACGGCTAGCATCTGTGGCTTCCAGTGTCTCCTGTGATAAAATTTTGTATTGTCCTCGGGCGTTCACCAATCGACTCTTGGGCTGCATCAAGCATTTTGCGCTTGAAGATATCCCACAGAAGTACAGGGTCCGTCAGATTGTCGAGCGCTGTGAAACGACCAGAGATTGCCTCAGCAAACTCCCAAGCACACTCCTCCTCCTTCACCCTATCCAGATGAAACTCCCTAGGCTAATCATTGGACCGCTGTGGAGTTTTAAAGTGGACCCGGAGGGTAGCCACAGAACTCGGCACTCCTATACACCCTGCAGTTCTGGAGGATCCTTCAACAGGTGCTAACGGGTATGTGGTCGATCTCCTTAGTTGCTTTACCTGTACTGCTGTACCATGTCCAACGATGTGGGTCTGTGCGCTGGTACCAGGAGCCAGAAATCCTCAATTTCTGGGACCTTGCAAAGTCCTGGAAAAGGAGGCTATTCTCGCTGCTGGTATCAGCTCCTGAACCATGAGGACCGACAGACATCTTACAGCCAGCTCAATCACAGCCAGATACTGTATTGAAGTCACCTGGACAATACGAATATCCCGCCGGGGACAGCTCATCAACTGGAGTAACCTCCACCACCGATGGCCGAAGCCTACTGGAGACAGCTATGGCTACTCCCTGGAGATGGTGACTGTCACTAACCAGTAGTAGGTGTAAACACCTACACTGATCATGCCGCTGCCAGGTCTTCTCACCTCTGAGGGAGCAGCCACCCCAACTCTCAGCCCCCCAGTTCCCTCAATAGCAGAGGCAACCGATCATCCTGACACAAAGAGTGGATGTTCCAAGCCCCCACCCTGACTTCCTGCCTGCGGTTCACCCTCAGGCAGTCACTCCGGATGGACGCCACCTCTGCCACCCCCACCGACACTGCCCCACATAAAAGGGGGCAGCAGGCTGCAGGACCCAACCCTAGGGCTTTGCCCAACAAGCTTCATTCCAGGCTGGCGGCTGCCAGAACATAGGTGGAACGAGTAGTTCTCATTCCCATCCTATGTCTCCGCAGCCGCCCTCCCTGCGGGGCCCGCAGCCCACCTCTCTTGCCAGGTAGGAGGGGCATTTCCCCTCCCCCAGGCATTACCAATTACAAACAACTTTGCCAATGGGTTATCACTGAGGGGAGGAGGACTGGCAAGGCCCACCTCCCCCAAGCCTCCCATTAATTCCTGGGGGCTTAGGGGCAGGAGTTAGTACAAGGCCAGGGCGTGTCCACACACCGGCGGGCCATGACCCTGTACCTCTGGGGCCCTCTGCTGCTCCAAGATCCCCTACAGTTCAGCCTGGGACAAGGTACCAGTTTCCATAGGTGGCCACGGGGAGGCACTGCAGAAGTCTCAATGATGGAGAGGCTATGTACTGACAAGGGAGGCTTAAGCAGAGCTGCTCCCTTTTTTCATTAGGCTAGCCAGCAGTGGCAGCTGCAAGCGAGAAGGCATGCAATCACTTAACACAATCTAGGCTACCACACCATCACTTCACACCACACTGTGCATGAAGCACCCAGGCTAGTTAAATCTTTCCAGAAGTAGAAACAAGTTCATTTTTCCAAGGCTCTTTTAGCCCTGTGCTATGAAAACCAGGAGGACTTTTTTGACAAACTAATTGCACAGGATGAAACTTGGGTCCATCACTATGATCCTGAAAATTAGGCCCATTAGAAACAATGGAAGCACTTTGACGCACAACCTCCCAAAAGGGCACATTTCATACCCTCAGCAGGCAAGATCATGCTCAATCTTTTGAAGCCAGCATGAAATAGTGATGATGGATTTCCTGGCAAAAGGTACTACATCTCCAGGGGCTTACTTCACTTCACTGCTACAGATATTGTGGAAGGCTATCAAAATCGAGAGGCATGGAATGTTGACCAATGATGTCCACCTGCTACAAGACAACACCCCTGTTCAAAACTCTCACATTGTCCAGATGAAAGTGTAGACCTGTGGCTACGACATCCTTCCTCTTCCTCCTTATTCTCCTGACCTTACCCCATCTGACTTTCACCTCTTTCTGTCCATGAAGTCATTTTTGAACGGCAAACGCTTTCAAGATAATGAGGCATTGATTTCTGAAGTCACTTCCTGGCTTTAAACTCAAACTGTGGACTTCACCAAGTATGTTAGGAGTTCAGGACTAGCAATCAATACATGACCTATTGAGATATGCATCTTTATGCATGTGAAATTTCAATCTCCTAGGAAAAGCAGAAGTGGGTCAGGGGAAATCTTTAATGAGCTCCCCTTGTACATCTATCATAAAATTACCAACCTGCAGCACTATGAATGAACACAGCTCCTCCAGGCCGGAGTCCCCCAAGGTGAAAAAGGGAAAAATAAGCTGTCTGGTAGGCAATTGTGAATGACGCTGCCACCTCAAAGCTGATATCTCTCGGAACGACTATTACCGACTCTTCATCAACTGTTATCTGCTGTGTGCAGGCTCCAGCTTGGGGGCAATGCACAGCTACATGATCACCAACCTGTTGGGATGGTGTAAAAATATCAGTATTCATCGCACAAAATGTTCATTCTATTCAGTTTTTTCTGTCATTAAAGTGGAAATATGGCTGCCATATTGATTGTTATCAAAATATTTGCTCACTTTGGTTTATTAGGACTGCAAAAGTAGTGTTCTCAATACTTAATTACCATTTTATCAAAGCTGGCATCCAAAGCAGATGATTTTAATAAAACAACTATAAGATTAAAGATTAAATAATAATAAAAAAATTAATGATAACAACAACAATAATAATGATAATAATAAAAATAATAAAGATAATGATAAAAAAATAATAAATAAATAACATTAACAATAACAGCAATGCTAATAGTAATAATGATAATAATGATAATGAAAAAAATAAAAATGAATAAAAATAAAAAGTAAAAAAATAAAAAAGTAATAATAACAATAACAACAATAATGATAATATTGATAATAATAATAATGATAATAATACTAATGATAATAATAACAATAATAATAACAATAACAATGACAATAACAATGATAACAATAATAATAACAAAAAAATAATGATAATTCAAATATAACAAAAAATATTTCTGCAAATAAATGCATGAAAATACATACATATATATATATATATATATATATATATATATATATATATATATATATATATATATAATATATATATATATGTAAATATATATAAATATATATATCTACATACATACATACATACGTGTATATACATACATAATCTAATCTTCCTATAATTTACCCATAATAATAAAGTTATCCATTATCTCGGTTAGAAATTTTTAAACAGTGGGTGGCATAAGCCTACTTCTGCTAATGGAATGGCAAGTGACAAAATGTTATATTCAAGCTTGGTCAGGAGGAATTTTGCCATCTGAGTGGGTCACCTCGTTACTACACGCTCACCATTTAGGGGCAAACAAACGTACCTTCAATGACTGCACATCCTCAGCCACAGCACTTATCACACCTGCACATTCAAGGCCTAGAGTACACGGAGGCTGAATCTCGGGATTAAGGCCATGTCGGACGTAGATGTCGTAGAAATTGAGACCACAGGCTTTTACGAGGACAGTGACCTGGCCCTTCAAAGGAGGGGCTGGAGCTGGACCTTCTTCAACCTGATAATGTAAACTAGGGGGATTACCTTTTGAAGTGTTACCTTGACTGACCTGGGAGTGTGTGTGTGTGTGTGTGTGTGTGTGTGTGTGTGTGTGTGTGTGTGTGTGTGTGTGTGTGTGTGTGTGTGTGTGTGTGTGTGTGTGTGTATGTGTGTGTGTGTGTGTATGTGTGTGTGTGTGTGTTGTGTGTGTGTGTGTGTGTGTGTGTGTGTGTGTGTGTGTGTGTGTGTGTGTGTGTGTGTGTGTGTGTGTGTATGTGTGTGTATGTGTGTGTGTGTGTGTGTGTGTGTGTGTGTGTGTGTATGTGTGTGTGTATGTGTGTGTGTATGCATGTGTGTATGCGTGTGTGTATGCGTATGTGTATGTGTGTGTATGTGTGTGTGTATGCATGTGTGTATGTGTGTGTGTGTGTGTGTGTGTGTGTGTGTGTGTGTGTGTGTGTGTGTGTGTGTGTGTGTGTGTGTGTGTGTGTGTGTGTGTGTGTGTGCGTGTGTGTGTGAGATGGAGGTTTTGGTATAATACTCTGCATTAAAGGTATTTGTGCAAAGTTTAGTCATTTTTTTTACCATCATAGCTGAATTATTAATATACTCTTGACATAAAAAATATTTGTTAGAAAATATAATCCCAACTTTCAGTCCAGTGGTAAAATCTATTCAAATCCAAATATAATTAGATCTCATCCTGTGGTTATGAATGTGAATTCATGAATATCAGCAAGCCCATAATTTTTATTCTGATCACTGCATTTTCTTAATCAACTGCTACAGCTAGCTATATGGTATAAATGGCAGTTCAACAACAATGTCTTCTTAATTTGATGTTATTCTTTGAAAGTTCTGGAGCTCATTTCCAAACATATTTTTTCTGCCTCATTCTTAACTGTTAAAAAAAGGGATATATCTTGTGATTACTTTTTATTTTTTTCTTACTCTCTTTACTTCTGTCCTTATAGTTGTTTAATATGATTTTGGCAAGTCGGATTCTCTTCTTGAATTGTTAGATGAAAATCCAAATACTTTTTAATTCCTAATTTCATGTACATTATGTGTATATATGAGGGCTTGTGCATCCAGTGGTGTTCTCAGACCAATATATATGGCTAGAGAATACCTTGGGATGCACATGCCATCATATAGTCTATTCTTTAAATGTTACACAAATACAGTTTAGATATATTTTTCTAATGTCCAAAAATTTCTTTTGTGGCATATGACTTTCTAAATAAAACAGCTTAATCTTTCAGGTAGTGATTTAAATCTATTTTCAAATATGTGGAACTGAAAATGAAACACGATTATGCATTAGGAAACTTTTATGCATTTCATATCTTGTACATATAAACAACTCTATAGAGTTTTTATTATTTCACAGCACCCAAATTAAAGAAATAGTAATCTTGTAATCAATGTGCTTTACATTAATCACTGAAAATTCCATCCAGTGATAAATTTTCTGTACAATAAAGAAGCCAGTATTTCTACAATTGTTATATATAATAAATCAGTACACTTAGAGACTTCTTTTAAAAATATAGTTTTGTTAACTTCTCCATTCAAGTAAGAAGAAAATCACTTTATAATATGCATTTCCTCTCAATTAATCCATGTGGAAATCCATGTTCACGTGGAAAAAATGCAAACTGTTCTACTCACTAAAGAATACAATATCTAAAAGGAAAAATTATGCATTTTATATGAGTGAATTGTTGTATTCACTATTTGTTTCCATACAGTTGTAAATATTTTCACAACACTATGACCTTGAAATCACACTATTGCATGAACTCTATACCTGTGGTATATCTTGGTAACTTTTCAACATCATAAAGAAGCAAATAGTTTATACAGTTTTATATGATATAGCCCAAAATACTTTTCTCTGGTATTATCAACTGTCTGTAAACAGGAGAAGGAGAGGAAAAGGGATGGTGTGTGACCAGAAGAGAGAGAGGAATAATGAAAAGATGACAGAGAGGCTAAAGGATACTAACGAGAACATATTAAAAAGAGTGGTAAAAGGTAGGGAAAGGAAGGAGATGAGAGAAAGGGAGAAAGAGATAAAGTGTGAGATCAAATGGGAAAAGGAGAAGAAGGTGAAAGGAGTAAGGAAATTAAAAAGAGCTCATAACAAGGAGAGGGTCCGACTGGTAACAGAAGGAAAAAGTAAGACAGGAAGAAAGAATTATTCAACTGGACACAATGCAACTTTGCACAACAATTTCAAAGCCTGAATCACAATGCACATTTTGTTCCCTTGTACCAAGTGAGCATGTGTGAGCATCATATAGACTTCAATACTATCTGTTTGCTATTATTGCAACATGATCATGAAACTTTATAAAGCTTATCAAGTTCCAAAGTTATCAATGCTTTATATTTTATCTTTTCTTTTTCCATCATTTTTTGAGACCTAATGATTTTACAGTTTTTATTCCTGCACATAAAGAATTTAGTTTCTTTATTTGATATTTACTACCAAACATGCAGTCTCACAGATGTTACAACTTTCTGTATTTATAATCCATCTTTAGATCACCTGAATAACTAAAAAGTTATATTAGAAAGTCAAGCTACATA